ATTCCCTACATGGTTTTATAGACTAATATCTACAATAAAAGTTATCTGTACAGTTTCCAGTAGTATTATAGGTTTCACAGTTGTATAAGTCTTTAGCTCTATCATGGTCTACCAGCTTTGCCACTGCTGTGTGAAAGTGTTTATAAGCAAAATGAAGCAAACATGTGTGACTTGTTCCAAGGACATCTTCTTTAAAAAATAAAATTAGCAATGGACTTATCCCCAGAGTCAGTTTGATGCCACTGGACCAGAAGAATGAAGAGCTCCCTTTATTTTTGTTGGACCATTTGAATTGAAATTCTAGATGTGGAATTCTCAGAGAAGTTCTGTTGTTAAGAGTGAGATTCCTTATACAAAGGAAGAAACTGGACTGTGGACAGCAAGAGCAAGGCTTTGCTTTCCAGAAATACCTGTGTTAGCCCTTGGTACATCGGTGTAGCTGTGAATAGAGATGTATGGAAGATGATGATGCAGAAGTCAGCATTGGGGCACTGACAAGACTAACTTCCAACCTCAAGTGATACCACTGTCCCAAGTGCAACTCCTGAACTCAGAAGTAGCAGTGCTGACATGAACTGAAGAGGACCAAGTTAGCAGTGGGTATCTGGGTTGTTGGAAAGGTTGTAGTGAACTCCTGGTAGGTGCAAATGAACAATAACCAGCATATAAGAGTAAACCATCAGGGGCAGGGTCAATAGGAAGAACCCAGAAGGTCTATTCCATGTCCATAGAAACACTCGAGAGGAACTAGATGACACTTGAAGAGCAGCAACTTTTAAGCCAGAGTAACACAGGCATAAAAGAGAGTTGTAGCCGCATTTATAGCACAAGCTGGTGAGACAAGAGTTGAAGAGCAACATGAACAACAGCTAAAAACATCAGCCATTCAAGAGCATATTGGAATGAATTGCAATGTGTTTACCTAAATTGTTCCAGTATTAATAAAAACTGGGAAGTCAAATTTTGATATAAAAATCTGACAAATCCAAAGAACAGAAGAACAACCAACTGATCCTACTCTCCACGTTTTCCAGACCGAAAAGCCATAGAATCTTTTCCAAGCCCCTCCTTTTTCCTCTCTGTGTCTATCTTTTCTGAGTCCACCAGAAAGCTCTATGGTCCATTCTACTAGCTGAACATGGACTCTGCCCTCCATATGCAGTTCATTTCTATTGGTAGTTTCGGAGCGACAACGCAAACAAATCTCCCACAACAGAATTGAGTTTTGTGCATCTAAACATCACCTCTACTCATGTGGTATGCACAACTATTTACATAACTAAACTAATTCCATGCCACCCTTTCCCAAGTAGGTTCAAAGGATGTCCATAGCTGGTAGCTATAAAAACGACAGATGAGAAAAGGTGCCGGGCTTATTTTGTAGGGAAGCCTTCCTCTAATAGGCATGACAAAGTCTGGCTAGAGAAGAGAAAAGTAGCCCTCGGTGCCCTTCCTGGTCCTCATGGTTACCAGTGTTGCCACATACCAGTATCCACGTTACTTTTCTAGATCGGTCCTTTTGAGTTTGTTTCTCAGGAACTCTCTCTCTCTCTCTCTCTCTCTCTCTCTCTCTCTCTCTCTCTCTCTCTCTCTCTCTCTCTCTCTCTCTCTCTCTCTCTCTCTCTCTCTCTCTCCTCTAATAGTGCTTATTCCCTACTTAGACCAGTCCCAGGGTGGAGACATAGTTTAGTGATCAAACATTTACTGAGCACACATGAGCCCCTGGGTTCAATCTCTAGGACTGCAGATGATCTACAAGAAAAAGAAATCTTATACTCTTTCTGACCTGTACCTACCACTCTTCACCTAATATACCACAGGCATCCTTTATATTCAAAGGATGTTTTGTTTTGTTGAATCTTAAGTGCATATGGCCTAGTAGAAAAGGGTGATCTTTTCTTGGTTCTAGATTGACTTCTATCTGGCTATATGCTTTGACGTTACTTTACTCTCTCTGAAAATTAATGTGCTCATTAGAAAAAAAATTATCAAAAACATTAACTATATATGACCCAAAGAGTGGTCAGAGATGTACAAAGAATATAGGGAAAGCTTTGAATGATGCAGAGCACTGTATCTAGAAACCACTATAGGAGACTTCCCACACTCAGTACAGAACTCCCTCTCAGTCTGTGTTTTGTATTTTTTCCTCTGTACAGTAGAGATCAATGATTTGATGCGCATTCCTCTTCCATAATAATCACCACTTCTCAACTCCTTGAAATTATATTACTCAAGACTGGTAGTTCTCTCCCTCCCTAAAATCATAGTTGATGACCCAAAGAATATAAGGGTTTCTTTGTTTTTCTCTTGTTTTGGTATACTGTTTCTTGTTTTTGCAATGTTAGGAATTGAATCCAGAGCTTTGTTCAGGCTAGATAAGTATTCTATCACTGAGTTGTACCTCCTTCCCAGTGGACAAAATGCTACATATTGAAACTCTGGGGATATTTTTAAGAGTTCATGTTTTGTGAATAGAGAGATGGCTTAGTGGTTAAGAGCACTGATCTCTCTTCCAAAGGACCCAGGTTCAATCCCCAGTACCCACATGGCAGCTCACAACGATACCTCCAGTTCTAGAGAATCTGACATGCTCACACAGACATACATATGCAGGCAACATACCAGTCATGTGAAATAAAAGTAACTTTTAAAAAATAGTTCATGTCTCATAATAACTGAGACAACTTTGGACTGCTTTCTCCTCTAATATAAAGCTCAACAAAATTTGTTTTTCGTTCTGACTCTGAACTTAGCAAATTATTCCTCAGAGATGTTCTTCCTGGACTAAGAATATCACCCATGAAGAATTGTCTCCTTGTCTGAATGTCAATTTATAGCCTGGAAGTGTCAGTGACTCCATAGAGTCCCAGCCCAAATGAGGAATGATCTAAAAGAAAAGAAGAAATGTATGACCCAAGTGCCACCACACAGTAACCACCAGACACTACAAAATGAGCATAGAGTTTGTTCTAGCTGACACCAGCTAACCTGAGTTCTGCTCAGTCTGCCCATGGAGGCAATCATCTTCAATCATCAGCCAGAAAGGAGATAAAGCTAGTTAGTTACAAATATCACTGAGACAGAATCTTGCCCTTAAATTTCATTCTAAGAATGTAGAAGATATTTTTCCCTAAAGACTTCTCTTATGCCAGAATTGGAAAGTGTGCTTAACTCTGTAACTTGTATGTTCTCTGGCCTGTAATGAACTTCAGTTTACTCTAAGAAAAAAATTTATTAAACAAAGTAATCATATTGTGAGTGAAATTTTGAAGGTTTCAATGACCGTTGTAATATGATTTGTTCCACTTTCCAACGAAGTTTTATATTTCCCTTTTTATAATTTCCATTTAGGTGCTAAGAACCAAGACTTTTGCAGGCACTTTGTTGGCCCATTCTCTCTGTCTTTCGGGAGAATCAGATTGCACTTGGGTACTCAAATGGTTTTCTTTACTCTAGTTTGGTAGTGTATATGCTGACTGTTAGGTCACCATAATATATCCATTGTTCAGAATTTTTAGTATCATTCCCTACTTGTTCGTCCTCTGTACAACTATATTCTCAGTGAAGAGACTTCTCCTCACTGCCAATAACTAATGGAAATTTGTCCAAGGTAATCAAAATGACCTTACTCTTCTTGCCAATGACTGGTTTTAGCATTATCAAATAGTCCCATTCTGGCCAATGAGATGGAAGGATAGATACAGTGGGAAAACTTCTAGGGGAAAAAAAACACCTTTTGTTATAAAAAGAGATACTTAAATGGCTTCTCAGTAAAGGTAACAGATTAATTAGGTATCTAGTCATTGTTAGTCCTTTGAAGAGCCCACTAAGACAGCAAAGAAATTTTCTTTTAGGGAAAAAATAACAAAAAGTAAATAAAAATAAAGCAACAATATTTTGAAAGTCATAACACACTCAAAGGGGAACTGATCTACAGACCCAAGAAAGTTAAATGTAAGCCACTGGGAGCTATCAGTAGAAAAGGCTGAGAAATTATTCCATTGTACAAGAATGTCCAGAGGTTCAGGAAATAGACACTAGTCATAGAAGTAAATAAATAGGCCCATGAAAAGGACTTTATTAGACTAAATACAGTACACATGAATGAAATTCTCAAATAACAAAAAATTTAAGGCAAAAGTGAAGATAAAACCAAGAAAAAGAAAGAAGCAGATACACAAACCCCCTCCTCAGATGTAGGAATTGCCTCTCCCCCAACAAGAGCAAGTTACTCACTGGGAAGGGTTCAGAATATCTGTGGGTAGGGACACCAAGCAAACAAGAGGACAAAGTCATTGAATGAAATTCTACATGCTCAAGATTAAGAGCCTTCTATAAGTTATGTTCCCAAGCTGTTAGCAGTCAGAATGATGCCATTCATGCAGGCGACTGGTGATCCCTTCTCATTGAAATATCTAGCCCATTGTGAAAGTAGTAAAGATCATCTTGCTTAAGTTTTCTCCAATAAACCTACCCAGGCAGATCACACATGCCTGTGGGACTCACCATCCACAGACCCCAATCACCCTGTTCATTTCCAATTAACCCTGTGGTGGCCTGTTATGAAGAGTTGACTACATATGATAACCAGACCATTGAATAAGGCTTTCAAGTGAAATAGTCTCAAGCAAACACACAAGCAACTGAGAAGACAGGTGAGAAGTAAGGAGAAGAAAACACCATGGAAACAGATGAGATATAGTCTACATCCATAACACAAAACCAAATGCTACTTAAGAGAAATAGAGACTGAAAAAAAGAGCTCCCAGGCCTGCTCTTTTCTGAAGGGAAACAGAAGTAGTGGACCTAAAGGAGAGGGAGATGGGAAAACACTGGGGAGAGTGGAGGGAGGGAAAACTTCAATCAGGAAGTATTGTATAAGAGAAGAAAAGTAAGCAGGGATGGCGTATTTTCTTGCATCGAGTAATGCGGCGTCGCTGACCGCTGAGGAGGGCGGAGATATCTGTGGTGAAGTAGAGGGAGGGCTCCAAGGAGGTCTCGCGAAGAGCCACGGTCTAAACTAAAAAGTGAGAAGTCGATGTGGGTACTGCTAGTCTCGGACCGGCGGCTTCAAGTCTGAGATCATCGTGGAACCATCAGCTTTGAAATTTGTAAAACATGGAGAAAACTCAAGAGAAAGCTGAAAGAATTCTTCTAGAACCCTATATGTACTTACTTCAATTACCAGGTAAACAGGTCAGAACCAAACTTTCACAGGCATTTAATCACTGGCTGAAAGTTCCAGAAGACAAACTACAGATTATCATTGAAGTGACTGAAATGCTACATAATGCCAGCTTAATCATTGATGATATCGAAGACAATTCAAAGCTCCGACGTGGTTTTCCAGTGGCACACAGCATCTATGGAATCCCATCTGTCATCAATTCTGCCAATTATGTCTATTTTCTTGGCCTAGAAAAAGTCCTAACACTTGATCACCCAGATGCTGTGAAGCTTTTCACACGTCAACTTTTGGAACTCCATCAGGGACAAGGCCTAGATATTTACTGGAGGGACACCTACACCTGTCCCACTGAGGAAGAATATAAAGCTATGGTGTTACAGAAGACAGGTGGATTATTTGGACTAGCAGTAGGTCTCATGCAGTTGTCCTCTGATTACAAAGAAGATTTAAAGCCACTACTTGATACACTTGGTCTCTTCTTCCAGATTAGAGATGATTATGCCAATCTACACTCCAAAGAATACAGTGAAAACAAAAGCTTCTGTGAAGACCTGACAGAAGGAAAGTTCTCATTCCCCACTATTCACGCCATTTGGTCAAGACCAGAAAGCACCCAGGTACAGAACATCCTGCACCAAAGAACAGAAAATATAGATATTAAAAAATACTGTGTGCAGTACCTGGAGGATGTAGGTTCTTTTGAATATACTCGTTACACTCTTAGAGAGCTTGAAGCTAAAGCCTACAAACAAATTGAGGCCTGTGGCGGGAACCCTGCACTAGTGGCTTTGGTGAAGCATTTAAGTAAGATGTTCACAGAAGAAAATGAATAATATTTGCCATTCTTGATTAGACTCAGAGTTTCTTTCAGTTGAAAATGGAGAGTGTCTTCCTATTTATCTTTTAAGTACTGGTCTCCAAAAACCGAGGAAATGAGGGTGATGTGGGTGAAAGCGTTTCATTGGCAGAGTTCCTTTGCATAAAAATACAAACTTCAGAGCTGGAGAGGTGGCTCAGTGGTTAAGAGGCTGCTCTTCCAGAGGACCCAGGTTCAATTTCCACAGCCCACATAGAAGTTTACCACCGTCTGTGACTCAATGGCCTCTTCTGGCCTTTGCAGGCAGCAGGAATACATGTAATACACATACATACCTGTAGGTTAAACACTCATATGCATAAGGTAGATTTTTAAAAGCACACTATCAGGAGCTACAAACAGGGTTAAGAAATGTCAGATCCTAAATGTGACCAACTCTCTACCACTACAAGTGTTCTGAGTTTGTGAATAAAAAAGACTGACCTTCCAAGAAACTTTCTGCCTCCTAGCTGTATGACATGGATGGTTTCCAGTTCATTGATGCTTCAGTTCAAAGCAGGGACTTCCTAGACAAATCTCTTTAGCTAGGTGACCTAAAAACCAAAGAACTAACTGCTAAAAGTATGTCAGTTTTGTCTCTTTAAAGGTCTATACCAAAGTCTGAAAAGACAGACTGAAAGCAGTAGGCACTCTTCTAAACCACTTTCTTGTTTCCATCCTGAACACCCACAAATTCTGGTTTTAAACCAAGGAGTCTCTACTTAATGAAGTTCACATCCTGGTTCCAATTTATTTTTTCTTTGTTTTTTTGATGTGTGTGTGTGTGTGTGTGTGTGTGTGTGTGTGTGTGTGTGTTGTGACAGTTTTCTGCCCCAAATTGATTAGTATCTGTGTATAATGTTCCTGTGAAAGAAATATATATACAAAAAAGTGTTTTGTGGAACATAGCTGTAATCCCAGCTAACCAGAGGTAGAGTCAGGAAGATCAGAAGTTCAAGGTTATTCTCAGCTATGTGAGTTTGAGGCCAGTCTGTGCTACATGAGACAGGTTTCACTATGTAACTCTATCTGGCCTCAAGGATCAAAAGATCCTCCAGACTGGCCTTTGCCTCCTGAGTGCTAGGATCAAAGATGTATAAGTCATTTATTTCCTGGCCTAATCAAATTAAATTTGGTCTGGTACTAAAAAAAATAAAAAATAAAAAAAGAAGAAAAGTAAATAAATAAATAAAAATAACTCCAGAAAACTAGTTTTTAGTGAAAAATCTTGCAGATAAATCAACGACTTTTCCTGAAATTAAACAAAACATTAGAAGAATAGAAAAAGTGAGTCGGGCAGTTGAAGAGTAGAGCAACAAAGAACTAACAGTTGAATAATAAAACTTCTTAAAAATAAGAAAGGAAGGGAGTGAGAGAGGAAGGGAGGGAGGCAGAAAGGGAGGATGGGAGGAAAGATGGAAGAAGAGAGGGAGGGAGGAAGGGTAGGAGGGAGGGAGGGAAGAAGGGAGGGAGGAAACTAGGTGTTGGGACATGCAGGTGAATCTCTGTGAGTTTGAGGCCAGGGCTACAGAGTGAGTTCCAGGACAACCAGGGGTAAACAGAGAAACTCTGTCTCGAAGAAGAAGAAGAAGAAGAAGAAGAAGAAGAAGAAGAAGAAGAAGAAGAAGAAGAAGAAGAAGAAGAAGAAGAAGAAGAAGAAGAAGAAAAGCATCAGAAAAAGTCATGAAATGGTAATATTTTAAGTTCAAGAAATTGAAATCTTAAATTTTCAGGTTGAAGGGAAGCATTGAGAACCAAACAATTAACAAAATCATTAAGATATGTAAGGCTGGGTTTGATTCACAGTGTTGCCAAAACAGCATAAACAACAAAAAGACCATTAAAGTATTGCTACCACCTGAATGTCTTTAGCTCCTTCAAAAACTATGTGTTGAAATCTAATCACCAAGGCAAATTACCTAAATGTCTTTAGAAGACAGAGGCCTGTGGAAGATTTGAAAGTCATAAAAGTTTTGCTCTCGATGTTATTAACATCCTTCTTTAAAAGACCCTAGTGAAATAACTATCTCCCTCCAGCACATAAGAATAAAAAGGTACTTTCTGTGAAGCAAAAAGCTTGCACTGGATAGTGAGTCATCTAGCATCTCAATCTTTGATGCTCCAGCTTCCAGAACAATAAGAAATAAATTACTGTCATTTCATACTCCATCCAGTTTATGAGATTTGTTTAGCACTCTCAGGAAGATACACAATCGTGAAATTTATAACAGGAGGGAGACAAAGAACAAATGGAGGGAAAGTCTCCAGACTTCGTGTTATGAAGCAGAGCAATGGTCCTATTTTCTGTGGGTTTTTCTACACCTTGAAGTCAAAATCACAATGATTACTACGGAAATGCAAGATCCTCCAGCCAAGCATGGGGGCAGGGTACATGGCATGTCATGGAAAGCCATTGTGTGCGAAAACATCACAGTTGCTAGTTACTTGACACTCTCACTCGCATGTTTCTCCTGCACTTATTCAATCCTTCTCACCACCTATCATTTCTGTGGCTCACTTATCTTGTCTGCAGCTATTTTTTAGCCAATTGTTGGTCACACTTCCCAGTTTTATGGCTTCATTTCAAATTCAGTTCCCACTGTTGAAATCATACTCTCTAGTAATTTCATGAGAAAGTAAATAGAAAAGTTAGCGCACCAGCTCACATTGACCCAGTGTCTTTGACTATCATTTAAATGAATTCCCCTTTGAGGCAGGCGAACCTAAGGATAAGTTAGTAAACATGGACTCCACTTGGCTTGAGCTGTACACAGGCACCTTTCTCAACAAAGCACTTAGCAACCTGGGACCCACCTGTACAGAGTTGTGTGCATACCCTTCTCCAAAGAAAGCAACCATCTCACTCTAACCTAAGTTCCTCAGCAACATTTAGTCACTCCACATTTGTGGCCAGATATATCCTAGAACTAGAAACAGTTTCTGCCTTGGCTTCCATCCACAATGAACTACAAAACATAAGCCAAAAATAAGCTCTGTCCTCCCCAAGTTGCTTTTGGTCATGGTGTTTGTCACAGCAACCAAAAGCTAATGAGGATACCATCTTATGCTTGTGCATAAGTGACAAAATCAGATGCACCATGGGAAAGGTTATGTGCAGTAAACTAATGCTTAAGTAGCTCAAGCCTACCAATCAAAGCAAAAGGCCACTTACAGGTCACCATAACAACCAACGTCTTCCCTTCCTGAAGCCACAAAAGGAAGCCGTTGGTAGTGACCAGGGGCTCTTGAGTAAATCTCACTCAAAGCTGTCAGTCCTCTTGCTGCGCTGACCTGCACTTTCACTCTGTCTCTGAATACAATCCCTTCCTACTTTATCAATGCGTGCATTCTTTCAGTTCTTTAAATAAGGCTCCAAGAACCCAAGAGCAACCCAGATAGAAGGCAATGTAATACTTTCATTGCACTTTTTAATTCCCATGTGCTGTTGGGGGAGGAAAGGAGTGCCAAGGTCACAGTGATAGAAAACTGGTCACCAGCCCTTCCCCATCACTCTGACAGAAGTGGAGTAAACTGACTGACTTGACCTCAGATAATGGGTTGCCTTTTTGAAACATCAAAAACTGCAAATCACATACAAACTCCTTTAATGGTGCATTCTTCCTATGCTGTCTCACAGTAAAGGCATTTTAAAGCCCAAACCACAACTTCCTGCTATAATCACTTTTCTCTTGTGGCTTCTTTGCAAGTGAAATACAAAGGCTTCTCACCAGATCTACAGCATCCACTCTGGAAATATTATATGCTTTGGGCCAGAATAATAATGGTAATAATAATGATGATGATGATCTCACCTCTCTATCATTTGAAAGCATAAGGAAGAAAATTTTTATTTGTCAGATTTATAGCACTTAGCTTCACAAAATGAATGTGTATACAGTTTTTGTTCAACAATAATAATTAAAGAATTATGCAAATACCAAAGGTAGTATTTTAAGTTCTACCACTTTTATTCACAGGCCATGTTCTGAATATGATTTAAAGATACAAAACCTTTAGTTCTTGCATTGGTCACAAAATTCATAGGTTGTTTCCTTTTGGAAGCCAGAAACTCATGATGGATGATACCATAATGTATGCATATGCATACAGATATCTAGTACATTATAGATAACTACAACTAGATCGAACTAATGTGTCCTTAAGTGCATATAAATTTTATGGTAGCTTAATGTATGTGCATCTATTTCTAGATAATGCTAATATCCTTTAGAGTTACAAGAGGAGGTTTGAAAGCATATATATGTATATGTGTGCATAGAGAGAGGAGGGAGTCTGTCTTTCAAGAAAAAAATTAACAATGTTTATTAATGTGTGCTACAAACACATGTGTCTTTAATGGATATTTTAATGTGCCTTTAAAACAATTCCCATCACAGCTGAACAAAAATATAAAATTGGCCTAGAAATGATATCAGGACAGATTCATTAAGACTTATGCAAGTCTAGGGACTTTTTCCTTAATAATCTATGTGTCTGCTAATAAGTGTATGGTCAGCAAGAACTCATGTGTGTTGATACTTGCCAAATTCTAGGCAAGTGCTAAAGGATTCCCATCCCCATTTAAAGGTAAGCAGAGAAAGTTGTTCTATACACACATGTGGTCAAATATTCCTTTGTGTCCCTCACATCTATTCCTTCCACCCCACGTAGGCTGCCAGCACCCCAGGCAGATGAGGTTATTTTACAGCTGTGCTTGGCCATCACCTTGCTCTTCGGTTTGTTTACTGCTTCCTTCTTCTTAGCAGTGAAGGTGTCAGGAGATCTCTTCTCTTTGACCTGACCTGTGAGTTTGAAAGCAGAGACTGTCTTCTTTCAAATTTTACTCTGAGAGACAGTATTGTTTGGGAGTCCTGGAGGGAAATCACTAAGCATACCAAAGTTTGGATCGCTCCCTTTGTACTCTGTATTCTCAGATAAATGGGTACAAACTTCATTATGTGGGAAGTGTTCCAGGTAGAAAGAAGATTTTAGGAAAATGATCCCTGTGAT